AAAATATGTAATAGTATTGAGATATAAATATTAAACATATTATATATTATATAACAGCATTGAGATATACAGGGTGAATCGTCTAAGGCAAGATACCTGAATAACTTCTACATTTTTTGAGATTGGACAGAATATTTAAAAAAAGAGTGGTTTAGTTTTGAGGGACACATTGCATGGAGTACATAACTCTTCTGCAGGTGGAGGTGCTTAGGAGATATGAAAGTCAACTTTATTACTTCAAATTGAATGAAGTTTTCTTACACATTAAACTAGACATTCTTTATAACAAAAAAAGTAATATGTATTTCGGAAAGCTAGTGGTTTAGGAGATATTCTAATTTAAATAATTCTAAAGTTCTTACTGACATTAGCAATTCTACTTACAGAAATGGTTCAACATAACAACCATTTGCACAACACTTTCGAAATCGATGAAGTAAGGACTGGTTATTTAATATTAATGTTAGTTATGAGTTTTAAGATGCAAAATCATATTATGATTTTTGAACACTGGAACTATAGACTCTTTTCTCTACATGCATTTCTCCACTCAAAATCAGCAATTTTTATTGGTTTGATAATTCTAGTGTTAGAATGAAAACTCCTATTTAAATTTTACTTCCTAAATACAAGTTATAAATGTTTTATTTTGCATAAACTCTACTAGTGAATATAATTTGATGTATTTATAGAAAAATATGTACAGTAAATATAAGAAATTCATTCAATGTTGAATGACACAAAAAGAATCAAAATTGAAATTATGTTCTTGAAACTACAAAAGAAATTCCTATTTATATTTCATTTTCTAAATTGAAAGTACAAACGTTATTTTTAGGAGTAAAGAAAATATCAAAAGTGAAATTCTGATTTTTAAACTACAAAAGAAATTCCTATTTATATTTCATTTTCTACACTGACATAAAAAATGGTTTATTTTGCATAAAGATCCGCAGTCTAACAATTTTAATATTTTCGACTTCTTTACCAATAATACATCGCGCATCTACGCATCGGAAAAGCGACAATTTATTCATTTTACGATGCATGCAGTGAACTGACCAAATTGTCAGAACCTGTAAACAAACAGCGAACGTTTGCAACGCGTATTTATCAATGGTATAATAATTTTTGACAGGAGTACGGAACGCGGATGAATTCTAAATAAGCGAAGGGCGAATCGAAAGATTCGAACATCTGGATTCGTAAACATTGTTAAAAGCTTTTTGACAGAAGCGAGAACTGTCGATATGAACACCAACGAACCGAGACTATATTGCCGTCTTACCTTTTTATCGATGCGGACTTCGAAGAGCTGATCATCTTTGAGCGGCTCCGCGCTGAGTACCAGTCCATAATTGTATTCCGAGAAGTCTCTAACGGCGGTGCAATTGTTGTTCGTCAAAGTCACACTTCGTCCGCATCGTTGATGGAACATGTCGACCATTTGTTGACCACGGACTGCCCAAACCAAACCGCGCATCTCCCTCTCTTACCCGCACGTTCGATCGCTACCTCTTCGTTCAACCAATGGCCGTCTTGTGTCTGCTTACGTCTCTCTTTCGCGCTCACCGCGCTCACTCGTTCTTATCTGCGCACAGACACGATTTAACAATTGTGATTTTAATTATACGTTTATTTCATAGATAGTTTCTAATTCTATATTGTTATGAACGAAGAACGAGATAGTTTAGATTAAGAATGTTGACAAGCCGGTGGTGATATGTACCGATGAATAAATATCATGTTTTCATACAGATAGTTGACATTTTTTCGAAATTTATTTAGTTTAAAAGAATTTTTAAAAAAAATTTTTTAAATTTACTTAATATATATTTTGCAACACGGTTTTATAGACAGAATACCAGAAAACATTGTAATTCAGGGAATGAGACGTGAATGAAGGCGCAAATTCAACATGGCGGCTTGTAGAGGAAGATTTGTCTAACAGCAGCAGAGCGCATGCGTGTCGTTATTTCGTCACGTATTTGAAATTCGAACTATCTGTTGATGATCCTTCTTAGCAATACTGCCAGAATGCAGGATTTCTCCTCTTCCCGTGCTCTCCCCATTTACCCCTGGATATGCGCCTACCGGCCGTCACGTGTGTAATGCACGATGCACAATTTCAATTTCTAATTACTCTGCATCCACAAAGGATTTCACAAATGATTTTGATTTTGTGTTATCCATATACATATTAACAGGAATTACATACTTCATGTAAAGCATACTTGGTAGATGTAATATACGTACAATATATAAATATATGAAATTTATTTTCTATAAAATGTTATTCATTTAGTATATGAACAATGGTTTTATTTTGTAAAAGAAAAATGAATTGAAACGAATCTTGAAAAATAATTTATTCTTATCAATACAACTATTAGTAAGAACATTATTGTACATAAAAATATTAATATAGACATTTAGACTTCAATCGCTGTTCTTAGTTTCATCTTGAATAATTACTTTGCTTATTTCTTGTGAAAAACTGTTCCTTTCGTATATACTAGAGTCAAATTGCAGCATCTCACGTGTGATTGGGTAATTTGTACAAGTAGTATTAGTATTTCTTAAATCTAAACGAACTCTTGTCAACGCAGCTACTGTCTCAGGTTTTAAACCATTTCTATCTTTCGTTTTTACTTCATTGACTAGAGAAAACAGTCTTTCAATTTCCGCATTTGAATGTGGTAAAGATAAACATATTTGGGCTAATGTATACATGTTGTTAAATTTTTGTTTGCCAGCATAGTCTTCTACTTCTTTAATTCTCTCCCAGAATTCGCACACGTTTAACTTCTTCATCTCCTCACGCAATTCCTTGTCGAAATGAAATGTCATGATGCGCCATTCTGTCATCGTGTCCCCTACGTTGACTTTTGATTTAAATTTTTTGGCTATTATTTCAATATCATCGTCACATTTGTTAAGACTCAATGCCTTTTCTGGTATTAAAAATGATAATTTTCTCATGAATGATTCTGTGTATGGTAGTCTTTGAATAACTCCTTTAAAAAGTTCTTGATAAAATTGTTGGCAATTTTGATAGAATTCGGTAATTCTTATCTCCTTATCATCATCTCCTGAAGTTCTCAATTCCTGTATAATATTTTTTGCCTCATGACCTATAGTGATAGATTGTATGGGTAACAAATTACCCACATTACACGGATCTATTAAATGTAAATCGTCCCTATCTACGATTTGTGGATGCATGAAATTAAAAGCTATGACACGCAAAAATCGATCACACTCCGCCATAAAACAATGTATGAGGACCTCATCTGTCTGGAACAATGTATTAAATTGATGAATCAACTTTAAAATATAATTTAAGAAGTTTAAGTATGCTTTGGTATATAAACAGTTCAAATGGTTGAAAATAGCTGTCACTGAATTATGGACCCCACAAAGTGTAACATCTTTACTTATTTCTGCAGCAAAGAATTCGTATAAAGTGTCCCATTGCTTTACCACACTTTCGACACTTTGTGCTAAAGTCAACCATTTAGGTTTGGCTGGTTCACGCATCTTCTGCCTCGTCATATTCATTATTTCTTGCAACTCCTCCAACCCTTGCTGTTTCTTATTGCTATTGGCAAAGTAATTATATAACATGTGCAATAACTTCGCAACATGTTTCGGTAGGCATTCACATGCATAAGAGGCTACTAAATTCATTGAGTTACAAATACATGGAAATATAGCGACTTCGTTCTTATTATCCTCTATTAAACCGGATACAAACGAATTGCGCTTGTCTAACATAACGTTTGCATTATCAATGCAAATTCCAATAATGTTGCTCGTAGGCAATTTGTATCTTTCCATAATCTGCTGAAAACATGTATACAGATACTCAGCTTTTCCATCTTTCAGTTGAAAGTAATCTAGCAAGTACGTTTGTATTTTGCCTTCATACATGTACCTCGCAAGAATACATAGATTTTTATTGCCTGACATGTCGGTACTTTCATCCACTAATATTGAAAACGGGATGCTTCTTAATATTGTTGTCACCTTGTCAACGACAGCTTTATTCAATACATTCTTCAGAATTGCGACAATTTTCGTTCTTTTCAATTTTTTGTTTTTTATGATATTTGAGTCGCATTCTGCTCGGTTGGTCATTTCAGCAGAATGATTGAACGAGTAAAAACTTCTTCTGTGCTCTACTATGTCCAGAACGGAAACAATTTCTTCTCTTTTTACCCTCTCAGCATACGACAGCAAGGATGAGGATGAACATTTTTCTTCCAAGGTTTCTATTTTCGTGTTTAGAAGCCTGGTTAAATGTTTTTGCGTACCGGAATGCTTCCGTAAATCGTTCTTTCCAGCTCGCAACGTCTTGTTGCAAGCAAGACATTTGGCTTTGTATTCATTGTCTTCGCATCTTGCCAGCCAAGGTGAAAATTCAGGTTCCTCCAACCAGGATAGGCAGAATGGCTGTCGACGAGCCGCTTTCTTCGTCGGAGGCGGTGTCATACCACTATCACTGCCTGTTTTTTAAGTACGGATTATTAGTTGATTTCAATAACTAGTATATGATGACAAGATTGATATAAGTTTTTAACTTATCATTGTCATAATGTGTAGTTAAAATACATATCTTACCTGATCTCACGCGATCACTCATCGTAATAATGAAAACAATAATTCCACGAAGAAAGTAAGAAAGCGTAACAAGAAAACAGTAACAAGTTTCAACCTCTTTTGTGCGCTGGCCAGAATGCAGGATTTCTCTTCCACGTTGCCAGCGTTGCCGTATTGAGCGATTTTCTCGCTGCTCCTCTTCCCGTGTTGTCCCTCACTACTTTTTTTTACCTCTACCGCGGGGGAAGGCTTCTTTGGCGGCAACATGAACGCGAGTGACGTCACAGCAAGGGATGCCATGTGATCGCAAGCCCGTGCATGCTGTTCAACTTTTGACAGAATTTGGCGCACTACAGAGAAACATTGTTTGTATTTTCAAATAAACGAAACAAATGATTATATTAAATAACATGCACGCAGATAATGTAATATTTAATTTTCCAAAATTATTCTTAACAAAATTTCTTAAATTCCAAGCCTGTCTTCACACTTAGGATCTAATGATAGGTACGGTACTAGGCTGCTACTAGTAAATTCTACTGCGCACGCCCCAAAAGGCCCAAAGCACGAAGCTGTCGCTCCTGTACGTACTGATGTATACTCTTAACAAAGGCAACGAAGAGGTTAACGATAATAACAGTGGTCGGCTGAGGAATCGACTTTGAAAAACGCAAGAGAAGCGTGATTTATTTATTTATTTCTGTACGTCACTGCTTGTAATCGAATTTAAATTAAACAGTTAATTCACTATGAAGAGGAGCATGTTAGGAAATAGAAGAGAGGGAGTGAATAAGACGTTGAGAAGGCGCGAGCGTACGAGAACGTTATACAAACGAAAATTTAGTGAGCCTTTAAAGAGAAAGCAGAAAAATTTGTACAACCCAAAAGAAGAGGCCAGGTATGTCGACAATGATGGAGCATAAACGAATGTTTACAAATAAATTTCTCAGTTCTAGATAAATATAATGTTTGTGTGTTCACAGATTAGAGAGAGTCGTGTTTGGTGATCCCAGTGACATCATAAACAATTTAATCGACAAGGAAGATCTCGTTCAACCAAATATTAAAGAAAATGACTATGACGCTCCTATAGATGATGCATGTGATGATTCGAATGAACACAGTGAAGAACACGGAAAGAGAGCAGCATGGGTTGACGAAGACGACGTTCAATATTCGTACGTATGAATGAAACTCCCTCACACATGCTCAAATGTGTACTCTCTCAAACTGTACTACAAATGAATTGTGTTCTTTTCTCAGTGTACAAGATGCTGCAAAAGCGCAAAATCGTCGACTAGCAGACGATGTGCCAGAAAAGTTATACAAAGATTATTTGAGTAACAAGTATAAACAGTTGGTAGGCACTCCAAAATGGGCTGAGCTTAATAAAACTGACAAAGAGTCGTCCGATGATTTGGACAATGATATATTAAAGGTAAGACAATTCCATTCGTCTACTGCTGACCTACGTCTAACTTTCGGTTACACTTTTTAGCACAGTTGTCATTTGGAGAGAGCGATAATGAGAAATTTGCCGAAGAGTGTAATCGATATAAAAGCATTGACACCAATCAACAAGGAAACACATACGGAAGGGCCTGTCGTATCGAGCGTTGAATTTCATCCATCTTCTACCGTGGCCCTTGTCGCAGGTTCATCTGGAATCCTGTCTCTCTTTCAGGTTCGAAACAGTCGGAAACTATTATTTTTCAATTTTGTGAATCAGAAACGATCAACGAGATAATTACAGGTCGACGGTGTTGAAAATAATAAGTTGCACACGATGCGATACGAGAAGTTTCCTATTAGTTCAGCAAAGTTTTTAAGAGACGGCACAGAGGTTTTAGTCGGTTCACAATATCATCCCCATTGTCACTCGTATAATTTGTTAAGTGGAAAGACGCACAGAATCCAGTTGCCACATGGGATAACCAACATGCAGGTGCGTAAGATGATCGCTCGGTCGAAAGACAATAATAAGGCCTCTTCAAAATGAATTATTTAGAAATACGAAGTATCTCCGGATGGAAAATTGCTAGCCATTTGCGGACGATCAGGTGAAATTTACTTACTGTCAGCCTCGTCCAACGAACTGATCAGTACTTTGAAGATGAACGCAAAGTGCAGAACGTTGTGTTTTACACCAGACGGTAGAAGGCTCGTTACACATGGCGGTAAGTCTTCTGCTAAAGTGTATTTCAGTTTCGTACGCTCATTCCTAATTCTTTTTCTTCTCTGTCGAATTGAAGACAGCAACGAAATGTATATTTGGGACGTGAACGGCCGTGCATGTCTTCACCGAGCCGTGGACAATGGATGCTTATCTTGTACATCTGTCGCGATGTCTCCGAGTGGTCAATTTTTAGCGACAGGTAGCAAGGAGGGCGTAGTAAATCTGTACAACGTCGAACAGGTCCTCAACAATCAACATCCTGTTCCTTTGAAGATCGTTTTCAACTTTACGACGTCAATTACCAGCCTAAAATTTAATGCTCACTCGGAAATCTTGGCAATGGCTTCGGACAAGAAACATAACGCGTTCAAAATGATGCATCTGCCATCGTTTACAGTCTTTTCGAATTTTCCAACGTTTCAAACCAATATACTAATGCCCGAAGCTATCGATTTTTCACCAGCCAGCGGATACTTGGCGATTTCCAACAGATCGAGTAGTGCCTTTTTATACAGATTAAAACATTATGGTAATTATTAACAATAAAACCAGTGAACACTATCAAAGAATTTTTTTTTTTAAAAGCAGACAAACCTTCTATGATATCTACGATTCTCGTTCTTCTTCGGCTTGGTGGGACATTATTATTATTGTTCTAAACCCGGATCCCTAACACTTAAATGAGACCGATACGAAATAACTGGGTACAAATTAATGACCTTATGAGTGTTCCAAAGTTTCTTAAATTTAAGTTACCTGATGTAAGATGTGCTTCACNGTGTCTCGCCCCATTTATTTTTCAAGTTGATATCGGCACCCTGATCTACGAGAATTTTCACGATATCTACGTATTCCCTTTGAATGGCTAGGTGCAGTGCCGTTTCTCCAACTTCGTTTACGGCATCTACGTCAGCTCCTCCCTCAATTAGCAACCAGAGAGTTTCTTCTACTCCTACTCGCGCAGCAAAATGAAGCGGTGTATCATTCATTCCAGTTTTCGAGTTTATATCGGCATTCTGATCTACGAGGATTTGTACGATATGTTGGTGTCCTGTCAGAATGGCTAGGTGCAACGTCGTTAATCCATTTTCGTCTTTCGTATGCACGTCAGCTCCTCTTTCGAGTAGCAACCTGAGAGTGTCTTCTAGACCTACTCGCGCAGCCCAATAAAGTGGTGTCTCGCCCCATTTAGTTTTCGAGTTGATATCGGCACCCTGATCTACGAGAATTTTCACGATATTTTCGTGTCCCTCCTGAATGGCTAGGTGCAGCGCCGTTACTCCATTTTTGTTTTTGGCATCTACGTCAGCTCCTCCCTCAATTTGCAACTGGAGAGTTTCTTCTTCTCCTACTCGCGCAACAAAATGAAGCAGAGTCTCACCCATTTCAGTTTTCAAGTTTATATCGACACTCTGATCTACGAGGATTTGTACGATATCTTCGTGTCTCTCCTGAATAGCTAAGTGCTAGCAGCTAGCACCGAGGAAAGATTACTAAAGAGTAGCAGCCTTATACATGCAGCTCTGCCAGAATGCAGAACGTCTCCTCTTCCCATGCTCTCCCCACTACTGTGCCCTCCCACTTACCTATGGCATTATTAGACATGTCCCCAATGGTCATAGGTAACCTAAGTGGGGCAGAAAAGAAGCAGTGGGAGACAGCACGGGAAGATGAGAACAGGCTTCCCCTCTTTTTCGCCCGTATTTCGATCCCCACTACTATTCTCCTTATGCGTCTTCGCGAATGCGTGCTTAGTATACCCCCATCAAGTACCAGTCGCCACCATGCTCGTGTCATCCCCACTTTCCGGCCGAGGTATAAATTCTGAGATCCCTGGAGGAGAAGTCCTGCATTCTGGCTTTGTGGGACCTCGCGGCTTCGGAAACGGGACGCGTCTGCAATTTTTGACGCCCGAAAGGCACTGGGCCGAAAAGTAAGAAACACAAAGCAAAACTGGCGGGAAAAGAAACCGCAGAGAGCGGGAAAGAGACCGAGGAAAGCGGCAAACCTTCCGATCTCGAGGGTTTCCGCTTTGCTCGAACTCTTTCCCGCTCTCTGCGGTTTCTTTTCCCCTCTCGCTTTATTTGCCGCTGCCGAAGCCCAGCAGGGATCTGACTCGAACACAACAGACCGG